TAACGTTTGCTTCCATCACCGAACTTAATCACGAGCAGCATCATGCGGAAAACTCTACAAACTGAAAAAAGGAGCAAAGAAAACCTTCCGAGTCAAAGGGAAGGAGGACTCATGCGAAGTTTTCTTTGAGGTTAGTTTGTCTTATGGCGAAGAGTATACTGTGTTACCTTCAAATTAGTGTGCTGTTTTTTCGTCAGCAATTAGTATGCTATTTTTCTTTTCCAAATTAAGCTGAAAGGTATGGGTTAGTATATATAGTATACTGTGTTACTGTACCCTCAAATTAACGTGGTGATTTTTGTCAGTAATTTGTATACTAGAAGAATTTTTTTCTCCTAATTATTCCTATATTTTTTCTATTACTTTCTTGTATCAATTGCCTTTCTCATGCTGTTTGATAACACCTGTCTTTTCTTCTCCCCCCCTTGGTATGCAGCCAAAAGGAAAAGCGAAGCTGGAATTGGTTTGCAAAAAGTTCAGTCTCTCGAGTTGCAAACAAGAAATTTTTGTCGTTGCTGACCAAAACTCCGAGGACACGTGAGTCTTGAATTGTGACTGTTGATGTTTTGCTTGTGAATCATTGTCGTCTATGTGCCTGTATCTCCTCCTAAGTGCTTTCTGATTTTTTTTGAGCCCAGAAATATCTACAGCTATATCTTCAAATCAGTCATAATCACTTTTGTACTGACGATTCTTTACTTTGTTTAGTCTCAAACTAGCCTGCCGAAATCTATATATAACCCGCCTCTGGATGATTCAAGTGCCCCTTCAATGCAATAGGTACTGTACCGCATGGAAACTGGTAAACATATAACGCGCTTTGGGTTGATAAAACTTTTCTCCCTTTTATAGGTATTGCGATAACGATAAACCGAGCAAGAGAACGGGGTTAGACTACTTACAACTCACGTACTCAAAAATTGGTGACACCAGCGATAGGCCAAATATCTTGTGTACAGTCAAAGGCGTTAAAGGTGAGTACTATATGCTCACAGATCATAAAGTGTAGAAAAAAAAATAAAAGAAAAGAAATGTGGAAAACCAAATCAAGTGGAGTAGAGAGGTACATTGCTGAAACAGAAACCATGAAAACATATCTAAAAGTGACACTTTATCATTTAACATTTAAAATCAAATGGATCAGAACCATAATATAACTCTTCTACCTACAGCTTCTGGCGGAGGAGGGGGGAGCAGTGGAACACAGGCGTCAGGATGTGAAAAAGGTGGGAAAACTACTCGCTGGTTTTGCTTTTTATTATTACCATTATTATTATTGTTGTTATAGTAATAATAATAATAATAATAATAATTATTATTATTATTATTATTATCATCATTATCAGTAATATTATTATTTCATGCAGACCATGTTAACTGCACTTATACATGTATTTATTCAGATAGTACCGAGGTCCGTTTTTATTTTTATATAGCAAAATGATTGAGACTTATGACCTATTCTTGACACATAATTCATAGTATATTAATACATTAAGAACCCCCGCGATTGCAGATACCAATATATGCAATATGCAGTATTTTTCTCGTAATTTAGTAACTTAGAGCTCCATGAATGAAATCCCAACACGTACCAAAGACTGTTTAATGCATATGTATTATGTTTGGATGTAGATTGTGTGAGTAATCTATATCTTTCAGCTTACCCTCAGTTATAAAATTGAAGTTAAAAAAAAAAAAAATAATGATAATACAACTACTACTAATAACGATATTAATAATAATGATAATAAAAATAATGATAATAATAATAATGATAATAATAATGATGATAATACTAATACTAATAATAAAGAACATGGAAAAGTATCTGACAGGGTGAGGCTCAAACTTGAAACATACTTTACAAAAATGGAAAGCAAAATAAAATATTGATTCCTCTAGTTTATCAGGGAGGTTAATCAATGCGCCAATTCAGCTGTTCATTTCTTTTGAAGAACTGAGGAGCAAGCTATGCACGATAATATTGGGGATACTGGCCATAAGGACATCAGCAAACTTGAGCATAGGCATCAGTAATATGTAAACCAACGCCAGGTGTTCAGTTAACAGTTATTGGTCTCTTCAGCAGTGCTACAAGAATTACTGCAAGAAAGTACTATAAATTTTCCTTCACTATATATAGTCTTATCACACAAGGCGCACGCTCTTCTTTTACTCTAATTATAAACAAAAGACTACAGATTCGGATATCGTGCACATTTCCAGTGTGTGGGAAGGCTTCAGAAAGTGCTGGGGCTCCAAAGATCGTGGGCGGGGAAGCATCGACCCCTGGAGAATACCCCTGGATGGTTTATCTGAATATCAATGATGGCATATTATCCTACATCTGCGGTGGATCCATCCTCACGACAACTCACATTATAACGGCAGCCCACTGTGTCGATTACGATAGGTAAGCTTTTGGTTTTGGATTGAACGAGTTGTGTCACAGCGATAATAATTACGAGACCTCACTTATGCTGGCGTGGTGACGTCTGTCAGTGGGTGGAGGTGTGGGTGTAGTCTAGCATTTCTTGAGTCTCAGCACCTAATTTTAGATCCCTGGAATCCGCATCCCTAATTTAGGTATTCCTCTCAGAAAAAAAAACAGCTTTTGTAACGTTTACTCGTGTGATAAACCTTGGTTCATCTTACAAGGGTGTTTATTCATTGTATTACAGTTAGGTCCAGCCAATCTCTGCTTACTTATTGCAGCAACCTTGAAGACCAAAGTATTCATGAGAGAGTTTATGCACAAAACACGGTACATCATCACTTTCAGAAAGTTGAGTTTATCTGTCTTTCCAACGTTCTTTCTTCCTTTCCTTTATTCATTTGTTTACCTACATATTCCCTTTCCCAGTTTCTGTGTGTTTGACCAAACCGGACACATTATTGGCTTTATCATTCACTGCTGGTTTCCCTGAATTTTCTGTCTCAGACTGTCAGGATTCTACTATAACTTTTTTTTTTTTTTTTACTACACCTGCCATCGTCCATTAAACAAACTTCGCCTGGAAAATGATGCAGATCTGAGATTTTTTTAGTCGATCACTCATGAGAGAATGTAGCATTAGTTAATCAATCTTTACCGCATTCTTCTGAAATTCACCTTTGATTCAAGTGGCCCAACATTCTTCAAGAACGATCTCCCTTACAACTACACCAAATTTTATTCATTTGTCGATGGGAATATTTAATTGATACTAAAGAACCGATTTTAAAATGATAAGAGTGGAACAGACCATCACTCTTAAATTCCCTGGGTTTTAGAAGTAAAACAGGTCTTGATAAATATATCTCTATAAAACTGCTCCAATAATTGGGCAATCGCATGTTAAAATTACATGTTTATGTATGGATATAAGTGTATCTGTTCATCTGTTTATCTATCTGTAGATGATTATTCCATGATCAATATAGTATACCCCTTAAATTCCTTACAGTCCACAGGTAGTAGTTGTAGCAGGCGAGCACAATATAGAAACAGATGACGAAACTGTCACACAGATCATTCGTGGTAAAAAAATCACGATGCATCCGAAGTTCAACCCAAATAACATGGTAAGTCTGTATACGCCTTTGGGGGGGGAGGGTACTGGGTGATCGTTGGAACTGGTTTGGGAAGGCTTGAAACGGTGAGTGTTATTGCATTTAACATTTTCTGGGCAGGGGAGTTTAGATGAGCAATGGTATGACCGAGGGGACTGAGGGATACATGTGCAATCAGAAAAAAAAATCGTTACCTTTACTTGCGTTCAATAAAGAACTGAACGATTCTCTCGGCTAACACCTGGTTACTAGTATGCTAACTACCTTGCCTCGTTGTCCCGAACCACTTCGACGATTTTTCATATTAGTTTATGCAAAGGGTAACGATACCTATTTTTCTGACTGCACATGATTTACGTACTAATTTCAACTTGACAGTGTCATGACCATCAATATCATCATCGGCATCAAAGTCAACAACATTGCCGTCAGAGTCAACAACAATATTATCATTATCATCTTCTTGAACTACTTACTAAATGATAAGGTCGTCTGTTCAAGAAGATATTAATTACTTTTTCGGTGTTATGAAACTGGTTTGTTTTCACTTTCATGACTAAGAAGCCTAGATGACGTTATTTTATAATGTGTTTGGTAGCTTTACATAGAACACTGCCATTTAAGTTTACGGTGTGTACAGGGCCGTCGCGACTGGGTGGTGTGGGGTGATAACACCCCACCTGGAAAAAGCATCTGTCGGCAAATGAAACCTTAAATCTGCATTTTTTTCGGCAAATTGGCAAATTTTGACAATTTCTACTGCTAATTAGTCGGCGCTCTCTACGAATGGTTCACACAATAACAGAGTTATTGTGTGACTAATAGTCACCAGTGCCCAACGCCCAATGACCACGCCCTTTGGAAACATTACACCCCCCTGCAATGATGCCTTCCCGACGGCCCTGGGTGTGTATTATAATTCTGCACATTTTACACACTAACACTGGCCTTGGCAAGATTGATATCCTTAACTAGTCTCATCGGTAAAATGCAATACTCCCCAATGAATAATGGATACAACATCAAAAATAGCGAATGGATGCAATTCGAAAATTACGAATGAAAATAAAACCCTGTAATATGACAATATATTTCTTCACAGGCCAACGACATTGCTATAATCACACTGAAATCGTCTCTGGAATGGACCGACAACGTGGGACCCATTTGCTTGCCACCTGATAATACCTTCGAAAATAGGGATGCAGTCATAACAGGATGGGGATTGTTAGACTACCGTGAGTATGCAGTTTTTTGTGATTTTCTTTCGCTCAGGAAGATAGTATGCTTGATTGTCTTTTCTGAGTAGCATTGGTACAGGAAATCATGTGCCACTGCTTACTTTATGTGGGGAAAAAAGGAAATGTTGTAGGTACTCTTTTGAATACATTGTGTCTATTAAAGAACGCGTGTTTTTTTTTGTGTGTATCAGGTTTAGGACAATA